CTAGACTGATGGCCTAAGGAGTGGGTCGACATGAGGTTCAGCCCGAGAGGGTGAGCCCTAGTCCCATATCCTAACACTCAGCTTGAGAGAGTGAGTGAGCTGGCCTTCATGCGGCAAATGGGTGTCCGAGAGGAACGCATTTGAAACGGGGTAAGTTGCCTGAGAGGGAACTTATTTCAATTTAAAGCTTAGCCTAGTCACTACTATCTTGCAAATTTCCTATCGAAAGCATGTACCCAACGATTTATCTCAACTTGTATTGCTGTCACACCCCAAGAACTTTTCCCCATACTTGATTTTCTTGTTATTTTTGTTCTTTTTACTACTTGTGACAAAACCCCCAATTGATATTTGACACTTTTGTGTCACCCCCTTTAATTTACTATGTTTTTACTCGTTAATGTCTTTAGCTACGACCAGTTAGAACTAAATTTTATTTTTCTATTAATTCTCAAAACCACTCCCTTGGGACACGACCCCAACCTTTAGTTGGGTTATTATATTATCGACGATCGTAGACACTCGTACCGTAGGTTAGCTTCGTTAGTCACGATAAGCATCAATCAACATTAAAATAAACTCATTGTCCGCTGTTGAACTTGGAAGACGAATAGAGGGATAGACCAAAGAATGTGAGAAGCGTGTTTATTCTAGTATAAAACTTAGAGTGTTTCATATATAGGATAGGCTTATACCTATATGCCACGTTTGATTAATATACAAGATGATATCTTAATGCTCCACCATGGGTTCATGCCTATCCTCTCTCTACGATGTAGTTAGGCTGTTAATGGCAGTAGGCGATTAGGGGTCGGGAGATCATGATCATAAAATTAACCTTGTGAGTCAATAATGAGGATAACCTGTCGAATGCTAGGATAAGTTATGATTATGCTTGAAATCGGTATATGCTACAACCCTGGAATATTTTCCCAAATTGTGAAATTCCCTTGTTGGAAACTGTTTAATTTTAGTAATTAATATTTGAGATTGTTCACTTAGTAGATATAAAAAAATTCCTGAAATCGTGTGTCGCATAAGTAATTTATTTTAGATACAACAAAGTTATTATTTGTTGATTTGAAGTCCTTTGGGTTCGATAATCCGACTCGAAAGAGTCGTTGTACTACTTGAGTGGCCATGTGCACTTGCGTGTATTTTTGGACACAACAAGTTTTTGGCGCCGCTTGGGGACTTTAAAATTGGCAGATAGTCAATTTTTGAGTTTCTAAATTATTTGTACAAGTGTTGACAACTTGATCTTGGCTATTCACTTTACAGGTTGTGTCAAGTTTTCACACTGGAAGACGACTAGGACTTTGTAGAGATTCTAGCTGAACCAGAGAGATTTGTTCATTATCGGAGAAGGCAAAAAAGACTCACATATCCTGTTCCTCTTGTCGCTAGTGAACCAGAAACTTCAGAAGAAAGGGAGGATCAAGACACACTTGCAGTGATGGTAGAAATGAAAGTGAGAGATGTGGAAATCCCACAGACCACCAATGTTACCTTGAGTATTCATAAACCTGCAGCTGGTGGGAGGTTTGAATTGAAGCAAAACATGGTGCAACTATTGCACACAAACAGACAGTTCACTGGTCTATCTCATCAGGACCCACGAGTGCATATTCAGAATTTCCTCGAGATCGATGACACGTACACCCTAACCGGAGTGAACTCTGATTATGTGAGGCCCACCTTATTCCCCTTTTCTTAGCTAGGGGAAGCAAAAAGATGGTTGAACTCTGAGCTCGCAAATTCCATAACATCTTGGGATGATCTTGCCTGGAAGTTCTTGATAAGGTATTTTCCATCCGAGAAAACAGCCAAGCTGAGAAGCGACATATTAAACTTCCAACAAAAAGGAGGAGAAAACTTTTACCAAGCTTGGGACATGATTAATTCCCTATTGTTAAGTTGTCCATATCATCATCAAGCTAACAAAGTGTTGGTCCATACCTTTATTGAAGGGTTGGAACCAAACACGAAAGTTTTACTTGATTCTGCTGCAGGTGGACAAGCTTTGGAGAAGACATATGCTGAGCTGTTTACATTACTAAACAAAATTTCACAAGGTAATCCCGAATGGAATGGAGGAAGAGCTAAACCGGTTGTACAAAATACTGTTGGAGTGTTGGAAGTTGATGCAGTGACAACTCTGACTGCACAGATTTCAGCAATGCAGAATATGATGATTACTCACTTCAGCAACATGTCACTAGGACATCATCAAGCTCAAGTTAATATGGTGCAGAAACCACCAACATGGTGTGAAATATGTGAAGGTGGAGATCACACTGTTGAGGTATGTGGAGCAAACCCAGAATCTGTTCATTTTGTAGGTAATGCCCAGCGAGGAGGAAATCACCAAAACTATGGCAATACCTACAACCCAAGCTGGGGAATCACCCAAACTTTTCATGGGGTGGCAATCAAAACCAACACATAGGATATAACCAGTACAAGCCACAAGGTAGTGGACAACATTACAATCAACAAAGCCATGGAAACTAGCAAGGTCATGGTAATCAGCAGGCTGCCAAGCAAGGTGATATGACTGTGGAGGACATGCTCAAACAAATCATGGCTGACCAAGCTAAGTTAGCCGCAGATGTTTGAAACAATCAACTAGCGACTCAGAATTTGGAAAAATAGTTTGGGCAGTTCGCTAGTGCCAAGAATTCCCGACCACAAGGGATTTGCCCAGAAATACTGATCCAAACCCAAAACAGGTAAATGTTGTGAGTACTCGTAGTGGTCTTCCATTGGAGGAGTTAACGCGAAAGGCAAAAGCTGCTGAAGAAAAAGGAAAATAGGTAGAGGAAGCAGAACCAAGTGAGCAATGGGTGAAAGAGGAACCAAATTAAAGCAAAACCACCTCCTCCATTCCCACAGAAATTCAAAAAGCAGAAGGAGGAGGAATGTTTTGGTAAGTTCATTGAATTACTTAAACAAGTACATGTTAACTTGTCTTTTAATTGATGTGTTGCATGGCATTCCTAAATATGCCGAATATGTGAAAGATGTTGTAGCCAACAAGAGTAGATTGGCGGAGTATGCAACAGTGACACTCACTGAGGAGTGTAGTTCTAGGATCCAGAATAGGCTCACAACTAAGTTGAAAGATCCAGGGAGTTTTTACTCTCCAAATAAAAATTGGTAAGTGCATTGAAGCAAGAGAGTTGTGTGATTTTGGGGTAAAGTATCAGCTTGATGCCTACGTCCATGCTTCTCAAGTTAGGCCTAGGAAGGACCAAGTCCACAACCATTATGTTGCAGTTAGCCGACCGTTTTGTAGCAAGGACAGATGGCATTATTGAGGATGTTTTAGTCCAAGTGGGAACTCTAATCTTCCTCGTAGACTTTGTCATCTTGGATTTTGAGCCTGACCCAGAGGTCCCATTTATTTTGGGATGCCCAATCCTAGCAACCGGTGGTGCATTGATTGATGTAGCAGCTGGTAGACTGGAAATCAGGGCTCATGACAAGGTAGAAGTATTTGATCTCTACAAGGCAATGAAGTTACTTGTAATATATGAGGAGTTGCCATCAATTACAGTCATTGATAAGGAAACGACAACTAAATATGTTGAAGCCTGAGACCCTTTAGAGAAAGTGTTAATTGGGCAAGACATTGAGGGAGATGCTGAAGCCTAGGAGTTGACTAGCGTTCTAGATGTCCCGAATGTGAGTATGCACAAGTTTTTGGAGCCATTAAACAGAGTCTTGGGACCACTTCCAAGCCATCAATTGAGGAAGCACCAAAGTTGGAGTTGAAGGCTCTCCCCTCTCATCTCAGGTATGCATTCTTAGGTGTCAATGAATCTTCACCTATAATCCTTTCTTCTGCTTTGTCTGAAGTGCAAGTTGAGGCCTCTCTGAAATTATTGAGGAAGAGTAAAAAGGCGATAGGCTAGCAAATGGCTGACATACATAGCATCAGTCCAGCTTTATGCATGCACAAGATATTTATGGATGAGGGCCACAAGTCAAGTGTACAACCTCAGCGCAGACTAAACCCAGTGATGAAAGATGTGGTGCGCAATGAGGAGATTAAATGGCTTGATACAGGTATTGTATACCTGATTTTAGACAGCAAGTGGGTCAGCTCGGTTCAGTGTGTGCCTAAAATAGGAGGCATGACAGTGATCACTAATGAAAAGAATGAGCTGATTCCAACCAGGACAGTGACAGGGTGGCGAATATGCATGGATTATAGGAAATTAAATGAGGCCACCAAAAAGGATCACTACCCGGTTCCTTTTATTGATCAAATGTTGGACAAGTTAGCTGGGCAAGAATATTATTGTTTCCTGGATGGCTATTCAGGATACAACCAAATTGTGATTGCACCAGAGGACCAGGAGAAAACTACATTCACTTGTCCGTATGGGACATATGCTTTCAAAAGAATGCCGTTTGGGCTATGCAATGCTCCAACCAACTTCCAAAGATGCAAGATGGCTATCTTTCATGATATGGTTGAAGATTTTGTGGAGATATTCATGGATGGCTTCTCAGTGTTTGGATAGATTTTTGACAGGTGTTGGTAGACTTTAGATAGTCTACGTCCTTCCTCAGATCTGCTACTTTGGCTTTCAAAGCCGTTACCTCGGAGGCTTCCCCCTGTCTGCTCTCACAAGTTATGGCTCTCACAATCAACACATCAACAAAAGTCTGGAGGGGGGTGAGTGCAACAAGTATGGCTCTCTCGATCATCCCTAAGATAGATCTCTTGAGTCGGGTCACCCGCATGTCAGCTGATTGGGCCAAATGCCCCATCTTCAGGATCATGGCCTGAGTAATCCTGACAGGCTGGGAGGAGGAGGAAACACCTGGCGCCTGTGAAGAAGAGGAAGGATCGGATGTACCTGAACGCCCAGAGGCCAGAGTTGGCGAAGATGCCTCTGTAGGTAACGAGTCAACATAAACCTCTGGAGAGATGTCTGCCAGAGCTGCTCTCCTTCTGTCCACCTCCTCTCGTATGTACTCGGCCTCAATACATTGAATTTCAGTGGAGGATGAAGAGGTGAACTCAATATCCCTCGCAGTATCCCGGGGTACTCTAGTATGCCAGCACAACTCAGTGATCAGGACTGGAAATGGCAGAAAAGTCTGTCTTTGCTTGGCTCTCATGGCTATTTCCTGTGAAATCAGTAGTCCTAGGTCGATATGCTTCCTAGACATGATAGAACCAAGGCAAGCTATTTTAGGATGACGCAAGACGAATTTGTTCTGGGATGGAATTATAGTGCTGCTGATAAAGACAAACCAGAACCTGGCAGCAATATTCAAGTCCCTCTTCTCAATAAGGCCCCCCGCCTTGATCCACCTTGGGGTGGTGTCAGAAATCAGAGAGGCCAACCAACCCTTCAATTCATCTAGTGACTGAGTAATTGGCAATCCCTCGTAAGGAAGTGAAGAATGCAGCGGTCTATTCAATATAGTATTAATATGTTCACTTCGGCACCCAACTTCATTGCCTCTGACCATAACCGACCTCACCAGTCCGAACTCGCTAGCCTTCTTCTTTCTCTTGGGCACCAACTCCCCATAATCTATATAGAATTCCCGGACCTAGGTAGGAATGTAAGGGCCTCGGGGCCTAGTGAACTGCTCAAATTCATGGTAGCGGAGGGTCTCCCTCATTTCTGAATACTTCCCGTCTAGGCCTTCTGTCGAAAGTAGCATCTCCTCGAGGATGGTTCGTAAACCATCACCTTTTAATCTGTTTAGAAGCCTGGGAGGAGGAACGACATGAGGCATGAGTATGTACATTATGAGTGTGAATGTGATTGTGGTTGTGTTGATTGGATCGGGTATCACGTTCCGCAACATATATTGGATCGGGTGTCATGATCTGACACATACATTGGATTGGGTGTCACGTTTCGACACACTAATTGGGATCGGGTGTCACGATCCGGCAAACTAACAGTTTGGGTATGGGTTCTATGAGAGGACCATTGAATTGTCATATTTACTTGATTAATGAGAATGTGGAATTGTACATTGCTCCTGAAATGATAATCGGTGTGTGTGTCTATATATATATATATATATATATTCTGTACATGTTATGTTTACTATGTTGTGACTGCTTATATATGTTTCGCTTATTAGAATAGTTGTGTGATCCTACCAGTACACTGTGATTGTGTACTGATACTGTACTTGCTCGTTCATTGTTGAGTACAGGGCATCTTCAAGCGGCTACGGACAGACCTCAACAAGGAGATAACTGATTAAGACCGGATTCAAGGGTGAGCCAGTTCTTTCAGGCTGCCATGGATCCTTCGTTTTGTTTCTTTAGTCCATTATGTTCGGACTTGGACATTGCTTTAGTAGTTGTTTTATGTTTAGTTGGGGTTGTACCCCTCTTTCTTAGACTTGTTGAACTTTAGAGTTTTGGTACAATGACTTTCAGGTTGTAGGGGTTAATTTCCACATTAGTTGTTAAATGTTAGTTGAACTTTAGGAGTTTATGTGGACTCCGTATTATTTATTTAGTTATTTAAACCTGCTTCCGTAGATTTAAATGCTTAGTATTTTGGTTAAATTGCTTAGTTGGACTGTAGTAATGGTTCTCCCACCGGACGGTTAGTGTGGGTGTCAATCACAACGGTCTGGGTCGTGACATAAAACTACACTCAACCAGTTAAAATTAAGTATAGATCTAGTACTGAAATATCAAATCGGAGCTCGTAAAATGGAACTGGTTTTTGTAAAGAACATTTTAGTTCTCAAGGTTAGTCGGATCTCAAAACTACGACTAAACACTGATTAAGAATAAAAAAAAATTTAATCCTTCAAAATGAACTTTCTAACATGAAATCAAGTTAGTCAAACCTCAAGACAAATAAGAGCCTCATGAAAAGTTTTCATTAGTAAAATTTCCCAAAATTTGCTATTGGAAAAATAATAATAGCAAATCGAATTAAATCAAATATGCTCAAATTTTTCATTGATAAGTTGAAAGATAACCTAGATAAATTTGATGTTATTTTATTTAAGACTCGATCTTTTTCCTCTTTCTAAAGAAGCATCGTTTAAGAAAAACATTTAGATTTATTGAATATATTAAGTTTTGACATTTTTAATAATATAAGTCCTTATTTTACGATAAATTAGTTTTTGACACGTTTGTTGCATGTGTATATCAAGTCAAGTTAAAAATATTTTCACGCCTTTTTAAAATTTTGATTTTACCGCCTCCCCCCCCTCCCCTCCCCTCCTCCCTCCCATGGATGTACTCAAAATAAGTTGATGTCGATGACCTGACCAAAGTAATTATTAAACTCTTTTTTACAAAAAAAAGTTTGAGGCTTAGAGAGTCTTTTATTTCCAAATCAAATAGACATAGGCTAACCTAAAAACAGACCCAGCCCTTTAAAACAAATAAAACAAAGCAAAACTAAAAGTAAAGCTAAAAAAAATAATTAAATATCTAGAAGTGTGACAACAACACTTTTTAAAACAGTCATCAGAGGGAAGATTAAGAGACGTTCGTGGTGGCGGCAACGACATCATCTTCAGCTAATCTGACTCCTCTACAAAGTTCTTCTACCTCGCATAAACAAAGAAACTCACATCAAACAAGTCGTTAAGATACCATTTCAAATTCATCTTCCAAATAAAGTATTTATATCCTTACTAGGCCTTCAATTCCACTCTCTTGAAATACTTGAATCTAGTCTTGTGAGCTAATTTTCTTTCACATATTATTGTTTGCATGCAGCAAAGATCGATCTTTTTAAAGCCAAAAATCTTATGGTCTGGATGATGCAAAGGAAATCTCAAATAAAATTATTTTTTCTTCTATAAATCTAAATTCGGTGGATTGAAATTCAAAAGATTGTGTACTACCATCAAAACTCAAATCCACAAAAAGATTACACATTATAATTTTTTTAGTACCCTTCTTAACTTTATCATCTAATGGATATTCATAGTCTTCAACTGTACCTTTATGTGTAAACCTGTTGTATACTAGTTTCTGGATGTTAATTTTTATAGATATGTTAGAATGACTAAAATTCTATGGAACCATGTATGTAATGAGTAATAAAATGCAAAAATTACAAATAAGTTGTCAATAATATTGTTGATTTTTTTAATAAAGAGATTAAGAAAATAATAGAAAAAAGACTTTGAGAGAAAAAATACTGCAGTAGTGTCAAAGGGAATTATTTTATTAATAATTTAGAGACATACATTTATAGATATAATTCCTAACTAAAAATAAAAAAATATGCTACAACTTATCAGAAAAAATTCAAATAATAAATAAAAGAACTAACTCCTAAATTCAAGTAACATAGAACTCTAATAAAATAATTTAAAACCCCTAAAAGTAGCTAACTATTTTATTTCTGCAATATAAAACACCAAATGAAGGGCGTATTCAATAATAACATAGATAGAAAAATAAATTAAAAGTAAAGTACATAATTTTCTGAGGTCTTATTGACTCGTTCTCCCATATCCTATCAATTAAGAGTCTTCTTCATCTACTTTAGCTATAGAATAATTTACAATAAGAAAAACATAATTAGTTAGCATAGTTCTAATTATACATGTAATATTGAATGAGAGAGTTGAGTAACTATACTTGAAGAATACAAGAAAGCACATTGTACTATAAAAGTGTTTTGATGCTCATTTAAATAGGAGTCTCATGGTAAGTTTTCATGAATGAAATTTGCCAAAATTTGCTATTTGAAATTAATAATAAGTAGAAAATTGAATTAAATAAATATGCTCAAATTTGTTGTGGAAATTTTGAAAGAGCAATTGGATAAAGTAGATGTTATTGCATTTAGGAGTTTTTTTCCTCTTTCTAAAGAGGAATAATTGAAACAAAATATTTAAATTTCTTGAATATATTTGACTTTTGACATTTTTAATTATTGTAGAC